ATTGTAATTTTCTATCTTTCTGGAGACAAAGCGTTATCAGTCATCTAGCTCCCTGCAATGCTCTAAATGTCATTGTCATACTGAGGGCCACCACTCTGATTGGTTGGTACTCTGTAATGGGCACTATAGTGGGGCAGATTAGTGGATTAATGAATGAAATGAACATGGCCCCACACAATAGCGGAAGGGTCATGCCACGCATTAAGCATTAAATGAACAACAAATCCTAGTTGAGTCATTTCTATTTGACTGAGAACTAGATTAATCATACTACTATTAATATTAAATATTGATCTGCTAAAAGTATTAATAATGATTTCATATGAAAAAAGATTGCATTTTAGCAAGATTATTCCCTTAAAATGCTTTGGAAAGTATCCATACAATGTTTGTACATTTTTGAGAAATATGATAGTAAATCACTGTATTTTAACATTATTTCATAATGAATGTAATTAACTAAAACTGCACTAGAATTCTCTAACAATAGTTGTATTTTATTTATATTTAATTTATTTTTATACACTTTAGGGAGTTTCTGTGTGGAAAAACAAGACCTAGGGATTCATAGTGACATCAAATCTTTGACTAAAATCTGAGTTTTTTACATGAATCTATATTTATAAAATCCACACCTGCTGTATCAACCCCAGGTCATGCTATATTAACCTTGTAACGGCACGCCCAGGCATAAAAGGGGTTAACAGCCGTTTAGGAGATCCTCCCCTTCCAGAGACACAGGCAGCTACTGTAGACACCAATACACCGAATCGGAGAAGCATATGAATGCTCTCAAACATACGAATGCTGTAGACAGCTGAATAGGAAAAAACATACGAATAGGTTTACACTCCTAGCAGTCAAACTGGAACAGCATACAATAAATCCCCCCAAGAACGAGACAAGCCTCCGTTTTGAGGGTCAAGCAGGAACAGACAGAGCTGTGGGTTTATTGTTCTTATATACACATTAGTACCACCCACAGGGTTTTGGAAACCAACCAATAAACACATACAATACACTCAGACACTCCCACACAAAATCCTCCCCTCTGCCTGTGATACAATTACCTTACACAATGGGTAATGTAATTATAACAGCCAAAGAAATACAGTTTTTCCACATTATTCATAACTTTAAAAGTATGAATCACATTCACATAAAACTTACATTTTCAGAATCAGCATACTCCAAATACATATGTCGAAATCATCCAAATTGGTCCAGTGGTTCAAAAGATAGATCGTAGTCCTTTGTGACCAAAGGAAGCATGGCTTTTCTGCCCAAAATCAGTTCCACAGAGTCTTCTATCCTGGAGATAATTGGGAAGTAATCCAATTATCTCCAAGGACAGAGGCAAAACTCCATTAAGCACATGGCAGTAAAAAGGCAGTAAAATACAATAAAATACACACGGTTACATTTATGACATAAAATACAGACATGCAACATATGCCCAGATAGCTTAGGTCTGAGCGCACATTAATACTGAATGGCACTCAGACCACATACACATACAGTTCAATTGCCATGGAGCCAAAGTCTTTTATTACATGAATAGGCTCCATGGTATAGCTATCTGGGTTAAATGAGTTCATTCAGTAAATCCGAGAATCTACCGAACGCCAGGGCAGAAAACATGAATAGACCTTTCTGCATAGGAAAATAAAGTATTTAAATGCTGGTCCATAGTCAAAAGGCAGCAGGCAGGCAACCAGGCTCCTCCAATGCACAGTGGCGAGATTGGTCTTGTCACAAACTGTGGCGAAACCGACCTCGCCACTGGGCATTGGAGAAGACTGATTGCCAGCCTCCTGCCATGTGACTATGGCCCCTGGGATGTATTGCCCTTTAAAGACATGATTTGGGCATAATGGATTTGTGTTGTGCTGCTGCTGGCCCTTTAAGAACCATCTGGGGACATACTGTGGAGTTACTGGGTGGCCACCATTTCCTGTATCAGAGGCACATGGTGAGAACAATGGATGAAGCACATGGTGAGAACAATGGATGGCGGCCATTTTAACTCACAGACACTGTTTGGACTTTTCAACACGGTGCCATCTCGCCAGTATTTGGTGCACAGAGACATCGTGCAGTGTTTTTGGACTATACAGCAGGGGACACATTATACAGTGATTGTTTTTCATTTAGCCTGTATATGTTCTGCTGAAACTGCATTAAATTGTATCTTCCAAAGTACTGAACGGATCTGGGTGAATTTTGGATATGTGGTTCACCCAGATCCCCCGGTTCCAAGGATATACGTATATATTGCATGTTTTGGGGTCTGCTGCAGTGCTTGGAGTCCTTAGGAAGCGCTAGGAGCATCCTTCAATGGAGGTACCCAGTTGGGGTGCCAGGTGATCCGTTACATTGGTGGCAGCGGTGGGATTGCGTCCTAGTGCGAGGAGAAGCAGCTTGGAGACACTGGTAACGCTTGGAGTTACAAATTGAGGGCAACGCTAGTATCCGTACAACGCCCCTGGCTACAACAGGATGGAACCAGCAGTTTTATACGATGAGGGTGTCATGGACAAGCGAGATGCAGTCCGCAAAGGCATCTGGTACCAGGCACTGGATAATATACAGCACCAGCGGGGCGAGGGACTCCCCAGTGAGGAGCAGCGACAGCAGACACGAGTGGCACTGCGGATGCCCCTCCTGGGAGAGCAGCCCCTGGAGGAGTGGATAAAGGAACTGGAGCACCGGGTATGGCAGGAGCTGTTGCTGGAAGATGCCTACCAGGCACTCTGGTGGTATGCAGCGCAGTATATACCCTGGACAGCCGAGCATGAAAAGCCAGAGGGAGAGGAGTTTGAGGGTCCTGGTTTGTTATGGGAGTCTTTTTCAGAGCCTGATTTTGGGAGCCCTACACAAACCCGGTTCCGTGACATTTTTGAGTGGAGGGAGAGTATGTACGACTGGGATGACCCTCACGAGATGGAGCAAGACCTGGCCCACCTAGCGACCTGAGAGATGGAGCTGGAGCAGGACTACCAACATCTGTTCCACTCCATTGAAAAGGCACGACAGAAAAGCAGAGCGGCTTTATTGCATGGGGTTATTGCATGTTTTGGGGTCCCTGTGATGTGTTTTATGAAACTGTATTTCTCTGTCTGTGATAATTAGATTACCCATTGTGTAAGGTAATTGTATCACAGGCAGAGGGGAGGATTTTGTGTGGGAGTGTCTTTCTGTAATGTACGTGTGTTATTGGATGTTCTGTAAAACCCTGTGGGCAGTACTAAGTTTGTGGATTGGGAATAAAAGAGGCTGTATGTGCCAGTCCAGTCAGTTCCTGCTTAACCCTCAAAGTGAAGTGTCGTCTCATTATTGGGGGAGGATTTATTGTATGCTGTTCCAGTTTGACTGCTAGGAGTGTAAACCTATTCGCATGGTTTTTCCTATTCGGCTGTATACAACATTTATATGCTTGATAGCATTCAAATGCTTCTCCGGTTCGGTGGTTGTGGTGTCTGCTGCAGTGCTTGGAGTCCTCAGGAAGCGCTAGGAGCATCCTTCAACGGAGGTACCCAGTCGGGGTGCCAGGTGATCCGTTACACAAACCTATTCTCCCCCAGTATTACAGGAGACTCAGGGTTCCCTGGGGAATGAGTTACAACACTTTTGCCAGTTCCAAATTTCAGAGAGATTTCAAATGTTTCAAGTGTTTTTGCACAATTTGAAATGCTCTGATACATAGACAAAACATTGATTACATTATAGAAGCAAAAAAATATTTTTATTTTAAAGAGGAAAAATATTACTTATTGTAGTTCTGAATAGGTTACTGCAAAGCTATTGAGAGTGCTGAGAGAACTTGTGCTAAAGTCCTCTCACTGCTTGCACAATGGGGTCACTGCTCCTACCATGTTTTGATCTCTGTTTTTAAAACATTAAATTAGGTCATATCTAAAAAACCTCCACCACTTTGTTATGTTGACAGTGACCTTTGTAAAGTCCAGCTGGAAACGTAGTCCCATTTACAGGTAACAGCATGCAGATTAATCATTCATGCTAACAGCCACTTTGACCGATTAATATCTTGTAGCCGCTGGGATGTTGCTGATGACTGGTCCAATAGGAAAAATGGTAGGGTCCTAGGAAATACTAGGAAGATCTCACAATGTTTTAAATGGAAATTGAGGTACACCTCAGTTTTAGAGGTGTGAGTAGGGTGTTGCCAGGAATGTTCTGAGAAATTTTAGGTGACTTAGTAATAACAAATTATACAGCTCAAATGTAATTTAAAGCAAGGACAATGCATCTTATTTCTAAAGATTGATTACTAAACACATTTATTGTAGTTTAAAGACACGCTGAGCGTCTACAAAATTGGCACTTCTATAAAATAACCTAGTTGCACCCCCTTTACTTTCAAGAAGACAACCAGTCATAGTACTTCTTGGTTTGGTTAGCTCAATGGAGTTTTACACAAGAGGCAGGAAATTGCTCGGAGCACCTGTCTTGCAAATACTTTTCATTGAGCTGCATTGGGAAGTCTGTGATTGGACAGCCACAGAAAGTCTGGGCAGGATTAGAAGGGGGAGGCCTCAAAATGGCAGCAGACAAGAGACCTGCAGGTTTTACAAACTGTTTTTTAGATATACCCCCAATGAAAAAATACATAATTAAACGCATGCAAGTTTTCAATAAAAGCATATCAATTAAACATCATTTTTATTTATTTAGTATTTGGGCAATAACTTAATTACAGCTCCAGTTCTATCATCTACATTAAAATATATTATAAGTAATCTCCTAACGATGGTTGACACAAAGGTGACAACTAACCGAATATCTCAAAAATTATTGAAAATGGCCCCTTCCTACCTCCTCCAAAATGCAAAATAATCATTTTACATTATTGGTACGTTTTTCTTTTCTTAAAAGTCAAAAAAGAATTTGAATAATGGGATAAGAAACCATAAATCACCAACATATTTTCTTCCTCACATAACTCTCGATAGTCTCTTGCTGCACTAAAAGCCTAAAACCACAGGGATATCAATTTCAATATGTAGCAATTTTAGTATATGTTGCTCTGTGGGACTGGCCTTTAATGCACTTTAAAAAATGTCACATTTGCACAAGAATTAAATTGCTTTCCATGTGGAAGTTGATACCCTCTAGTTTGAACACTGGAAATGTTTGGACTAAAGCCGTATTACTCATCGCTATAGTTTTAGTTTTTTTTTTGCAGAGGTGTATTTTCCAAAAACCGTCAATCCAAGAGAGTGGTTTCTGAAAGCTGTGTATTCCTGTCATAGTTAACGTTGTCTTATACTGCAGGCAGGCAAGAGGCTGCTGTTGCATTTTTTTCTTTTTTTTTATTCTTATTTCGAATGACAGGTTCCTTAAGACTGTTCTCTTTTCCTGAGCTTCGTGTCTATGGCCTGAGAGCTGTCACATCATGTTAGGCCTCTGAGCTCTGTATAGGACAGGATGTTGTGGCCAATCACACAGTGTGTCACACATGAATATTTTATAAAGGCAAATCACTGAGTAGAGCGGACTGCAATTGAGAGGACAGCAATACAGTGAGATAGGCTCTCCAGGGAGAGGGGTGAAGGAGCAAGTTATTCATAGCAGAGAAAAAGAAAACAGGAAGATCACCTGCAGGTTACCAGAGACAGATTTAGCCTTGACTTCTTGCTTCCCAGTAACTTCCTGATTCCCTTGCCTTCTACCACTATCATAACTCTATCAAGTACTTAGCAGACAGCGTTACAGATGTGAATCAACAAATTTGGAATAATAGATGCAGAGATGTCAATATAAGGTGCTTTGTGGGCAGAATATATATTTATATATCACTGGCTTAACAATAAAGACCATATGGGTTTCAGTTGTGATGAGTACCAAGATCATTTGAAGCATACAGGCTCATTAACCCATGCAATCATTTTTTACTGGTCTAGGTGAGAAACTGGTAAGGTATTCTTTGGTTGTTGAAGCTCTCTTTCCTACTCTATTACATGAATGCATTAAGGGAAGGGTAGAAAGCCATGTCACCTGGAACACAGTTCTCTATTTCCCCAACTAGGCAATCAGTGAGCTTAAAGGACCACTATAGTGCCAGGAAAACATACTCGTTTTCCTGGCACTATAGTGCCCTGAGGGTGCCCCCACCCTCAGGGACCCCCTCCCGCCCGGCTCTGGAAGGGGGAAAGGGGTAAAAACTTACACTTTTCCAGCGCTGGGCGGGGAGCTCTCCTCCTCCGATCCTCCTTCTCTCCTCCCCGTTGGCTGAATGCGCACGCGCGGCAAGAGCTTCGCGCGCATTCAGCGGGTCGCATAGGAAAGCATTATCAGTGCTTTCCTATGGACGCTGGCGTGCTCTCACTGTGAAAATCAGAGTGAGAAGCACGCAAGCACCTCTAGGGGCTGTCAATGAGACAGCCACTAGAGGGAATGCGGGAAGACTTAACCCATTCATAAACATAGCAGTTTCTATGAAACTGCTATGTTTATAAAAAAAATGGGTTAACCCTAGCTGGACCTGGCACCCAGACCACTTCATTAAGCTGAAGTGGTCTGGGTGCCTAGAGTGGTCCTTTAAACCTCCCCACCGAAAAAATATGTATAGTACTTGTTATGCTAGTGCATGTGATTACACTTGCAAAATTAGTATTATTGTGTCCTTTCTATAAAGCACTACGAGCATGTTGTATCTGGAATAAACAACTGTCCCTTTTAATTCTACTTTTCCAGTTTTAAAGAGAGGTGATCCATATTTATATAGCTAATTCATTAACGAATTTGCAAAAAAGTACAAAAAATTATTTTAAATGTACTCACATATAACACCTAAATACAGCTATAACTTTGTTTCAAGCAGGCACTCGCTAACGTGGCAGCTATGGCTGTGTGCACCTCGATGAACAAAAACTGTGCAAAAACTAATGTGTTGTCATGGCAGTATCATTTTTTATATATCAATATTCTATCAACTTCATATACTGTACCTGAGAGTGAATGAAAAAAATATTTTCATTGAAGTTAAGCACATCTGTCAGTCATTGAGCTGGATTACAACTCCCATGATGCTATCCCAGACTGACTTACGTCTCGTAAAACAAGGAAGTTGTAGTTCTGCAACAGCCGAAAATCTACCTTTTGGTTGTAGTTACACCAATCACAATTCTGCATGGGCAATTATATAGCGTATTAGGTGACAGATGTCTTCACCAGTATCAGAGAATAACAAATAATATATCATACATCATGCAGGAAGCTGAAAATAGGAAGTGCTAGGGGAGGAGTCTGCAGTTCCCTATTAGCACTACAAATGGTAAATTCTAACACATGAATGGTACATTTGTGTAGCTTATATTACTCCTTTTTTACTACATATGCAGGTCATTCAACATAAAAATAAAATGACGATAAATGCCTAACCTTATATAACCATAACGATATGTAAATTACGGTACTAGCCTGCTATACATTTCTCACTCAAGAATTCTGCTTTATTAGAGAAAGTGAGTAAAGGGAGCAACAGGGAGCTAATTCAACTATTTGCACTCACAGCTGTGTCCTGATTGGATTCTTCATGTTTTTAACCAATCAAAGTCCAGCTAGGATTGAAATCTTGGGCAGTTCCCAGAAAATATACATATGAGAATAAACTAATGGCAGACCCCTGTGTGCAACTAAACACACTGTTTCTGGAGCAATAAAGGTAATAATAGATATATCACATACATTTTGCATTTATTTATATTTCTCTAAGCATACTATTTTATTTAACATGAAGTTGAACCATTACAATAACTGTAAGGTTCAGGTTGCAATAAATGGAAATATCACAGGGTGGTTATTGTGAGACAAGATATGTATATATATTTTTGATTTGATATTTTTGATATATATAATGTAAACCATTTATAACATTAAATATATATATATATATATATATATATATATATATATATATATATATACAAAGTCAGACAGGAGCACTCACTTGGAATTTTTCAATTGTGTATTATAAAGTGTTCATCAAACTTACATCAACGTTTCGACCCTTCAGAGTCTTTATCAAGATCTTTCAATGATTTCCTATGGGGATTTCAGCAACGCTGAAATGTGGACTATAAACCCGGAAGTGCCCTCTAGTGGCTGTCTTGTAGACAGCCACTAGAGGAGGAGTTAACCCTGCAAGGTAAATATTGCAGTTTTTGAAAAACAGTTGCAGGGTTAAGGGTAGTGGGAATTGGCAGAAGTGGTCTGGGTGCCTTGAGTGTCCCTTTAATTGATAAATAGTAACAAATATTCTTCAGTAAAATCTAAAGAGATGACCAGGAACTTCAAAACTCCAAGGCTGTATTAAGGATAGAAGCAAAACCGCTTAAAAACAGTGGCGTCGCTGGGGGGGGGGGCCAGAGAGGGCCATGGCCCCCCCTACATCATGCTGTGCCCCCCGTTGGGCCCCCCAAAATGCTGGCCATGGGCTTCCCTCAGACTGTAACAGCCTGTTACAGCCGGGGAGGGAATGCAGTGCTGAGGTGCTGGGGGCTGTCTGTGGCTGGAGGGAGCACTGATTGGCTCCCCAGCACAGGCCCCGCTCCTAAACGAAGCCCTGCCGATAAGCCCCGCCCCTGCCGTAAAGCAGCAGCCCATGCTGCTGCTAAAGATGGCTGCCTGACCCCCAGTAACATCCTCCAGTTACAGGTAGGCTTGGGGAGGGGGGGTGTTCACACACTGCCCCCCATGCACACACATTGCCCCCAATACAGCCTCCCATACACACACACTGTCCCCCATACTGCCCCCCCATACACACACAATGCCCCCCCATACACACACAATGCCCCCATACAGCCTCCCATGCACACCTTGCTGCCCCAATA